CCACTCTGTATTATTAGCAAAAAATCCATGAACCTCAATTCAAAATCTAATCACAATCTCCATATTTCCAGATAAAAATTACAGGCTGAAACTATTAAAATCAAGCTGCTCATAATTTTTACCTCAAGAAAAGATATATCTAGCTCGCTAGCTCAAATTGTCGTAGAATCTAGCGCCTTGTCTGTAGCACCAGGCAATCATGTCAATTGTTTGTTCTGGAAACACTGATGAAATATTAATTCAACCTGGACCACCTAATTACAATATTCAGATTGATTGATTAATTTCTCAAACCAAAAAAGCAATTCAAAATTGGAAGCTTTGAGGTCCAAGTTCAGATGTACCCAGAAATCGAAAGTTCAAAAAATCCTGACCCTGATTATGAACCCAAGAAGTAGATGAATGCTCCTAGACACTTCCGCTTCTCTTCCTCTTTGGTGTCTTCCTGAAAGAAAAAAGAAACAAAAAGTTGAAAGTTAAAACAAGTCAAGTGTTCGTTTCTTTTTTGTTTGGCTCCAAAGTTTTGAAACGGAGATTTAGAAAGAGAGTGAAATCAACGAAAGAATAGAAAAGGAGTCAAAAGAAGGATGAAAATGGTAGTGGTGATGGAAAGAAGTGAATCCAGAGATGGATTAGAAGAAGAAGAAGAAGCATGGTGTCTTCTCCTTCTTCTGGGAGAGAAAAAGGACCAAGTGAGACTTTTTTGGTGTGAGATGGTAGTGATGGCGTGTGCTGTTGTTGTCTTTTCTCTCTTCTTCTTTTTTCTCAGAGATGGAAATCAAAAAGTTTTGTCTATTCTTTTTTGAAAAAGAAGAGTTTTCACACAACTACATACTCTTCTCATATGCTTTTTCATGTCATATGTTCTTAAATTCTCCGAAAACAATGTTGCCCTTGGGCACGTAGTTCTTTAAAGAAAATGGGACAAGTCGTCGGAGCGGGGGGAGGAAGACGTTAATCGTTTTAGAATTTGGAGAATCTTCTGTCTGTCTGTGTGGGAAAATTCAAGGATTTTAGGGCGAGAAAGAAGAATCAAATAAGTTTTTGCAAATTTCGCTTTTTCTTTTCTTTGCTGCTCTTCATGATTGAAATTGGAAACTTTTGAGACGAGAAGAGAGAGTCTCTTTTTTGAGATGATATTAGAACAAAGTAGTAAGGTACAACTATACAGAAAAAGAAGAAGATCGTAAGAACAAAACTAGAGTGTTTTCAAAAAATCATCTTGATTCTGGACAGGAGATTTTTCGGAGGATTTTTGGAGCCAGAGTATGCATTCTACCGTATCGATGTACAACACTTAATGTCACTCTGCGTTGTCCTCACCCTTATGTTTCTGTCGTCCTCACCCTTATGTTTCCCACTGGGCGTCCGCTCCATCTTTGCCGCGTGGCTCAGTCGGTACCGGCGCCGCACTGTCAATAGTCGCCCCAACAAGTTCAACTCCTCGAGGGGCATATTTAAACGGAATTTCGAGAAAATTATTTTTTTTTTCATATCCCCCCCCCCTATTTTTAACTGAGGGGCACCGTATAACCTGTAATGGAAGAGCCCTCACACTGTTAACATTGAGCCGATGTATTTCGGTTCCTGTGAAGGATATCAAAAACTTGTTAACTGGTAAATTTTTATCATAATATCAGCAATACTTTATCAGTTGAAAAATTTTTGATATCTTTCACAGGAATCGAAATGCTTGAGCTTTCCGTGGTTGTCTGTTAGAGGAAATACGGTAGTAGAAAATCCACGATTCGCTAGTCATGCAATTCAGAAAAATTCAGTAGAATTTTCAGAAAATGTCAAATATCATTACAGAAGAACATCCATAACATCTTTTCACAATATGAGAAAAATATCAAAATCTGACACTAAATGACAAAATGTCAAAATCTGGACCTCAAAACCTGCAGCAAAAAATTTATGAAATCTGGAGCTCTGAAATGATTACAATTTCTTTAAAAGGGTCTTAATAATTCAAAAAAAAAACTGAACAATTACAAAAAATGTTTAGTAGACAACTTTTATGCAAAACCCCATAATGACTAGATAGAAATGATGTCTGGCACCAAAAAAGAAAAATGAACATTGCTTCGAAAATGCATTTGAAGAGAACAAAAAATCAAAATTAAATGAACGAGTATGAAGAATCTTGTATACCATAAAGAACGACTCCCTAATTTTAAAATTGAGCCAATTCTTCTCAAAGATATGAAAAAGTTGTCAACTAATAAATTGTTTAGCATGATATCCGGCTTTTCAGAACCAACTCTGGAGCTTGATGAGCCCTCGAAGACTTAAGATAAAAAAGCACCCCAGAAGTGCCGACGATGACGGAAGCACCGTCATCGACGTCGCCCAAAAAATGAGAATTGATATTCCAAAAAAATTGAGAAAAAAACTTGGAAAGGTGTGAATGTGACGGGTCTAGAGCCACCGCTTTTCTCCTTTCTTTTTTCCACTCAAAATGAATTCGGGGGTTCTTCCGTTCAGGATTCTCTGACGTGGTTTTCGAAGTATGGGGCCCACTTTCACTATTCTCTTGGAAAAGTATTGACCATCACAGAAGCAAAAAAGAGCTCTATCCAGGAATAGAGGAGAAGGAGAATGGAGGAGCTCCCTTGGTTGAAGACGTATGTATCCGGAAGCGTGTCATATATTCCGAAACCGAGGGCGCTCATGGAGCCATCTACACGGTCGACTGAGCACCACCACGACCACCACACCGGTCGGTGAAAAAGCACAGAGGGATAGAGAGAGCACCGACCAGATGATCGCGCGGGGAAAGTGAAAAAAAATTGGGGTCGAAGGAAAGGAAAGGAGATTGAAAAGGAATGGATATGAGAAAATGAGAAAAGATTTGGGATGGGATGGGGTCTCTGGAAAGAAAGAAGAAGATGAAGAAGAAAAAAGAAGACATGAAGATAAATCGGAATATTCGATGAGCATATATTCAGATGAGAGAATGACCCCCATTTTGGGAATGAATAGAAAGGAAAAATCGGAAGAATTTAGTACTTTGATCACTAGACGGTTGAAACAATGAGTTTCGATCATTTGAGGTCAGAATTTTCAGGGACAATAGGTTACTGTAGAACATCTCATACCGTATTTGTTCTAATAGAAGCCTACCCTAATTTTGTGCTCAATTATCTCGATTCCTGTGAAAGATATCAAAAAGTTGTTAACTTATGAAATAATGTTGATGCTATGATAAATATTTTATCAGTTGACCAATTTTTGATATCTCGTGAAGGAACCGAGATAATTAAGCTCAAAGTGCACGGTTTGAGAGGTTTCTGGGTATGTAGAGATTCTGTAATTCAAATTTTAGCCGTATTTTTTTAATACTGTATTATGGTTCTTAACTAAATTCAAAATGGACACAAGTACTGTAAAAAATATATTATATTTTGGCATTCAAAGTCGAAACTGAAAATTTAGAATTCCTTCAAAAATTGACCAAGACTTTTTGGGATGGTCTAGTAGTTTTCCAGTTAACTCAAACAAAAATGATTCTCTTTTTTTGAGTTTTGCATCCAAAATGAGAGGAGCTGTTTGGAAAAAAGAGAAAAAACTATCTAAAACTTTCAGGGTATTCGGAATAGCTATTTTTTCGGACGCCTGAATGACCATAAACACACTAATAGAACGACCCCCTTGACTTTCAACTTTCAGTTTATATATCTGGGTTTTTGTAAAAGATATCAAAAAGTTGTCAACTGATAAAATAATTTTGATATCATGATAAACATTTCGTCAGTTAATAACTTTTTGATATCTTTTATAGGAACTGAGATATATAAGCCTAAAGTTGACGGTCGGGGGGGGGGGGCGTTCTATTAGAGTGCACTTGGGTTCAAGCGAGGGGTCAGAAAGCGCGCCCCAGTAAATTTAGGAGGAATTCTAAATTCGCTGCCGAATTTCGTTGGCTGAGTTTCACAGTTTTATATAAAGAGCGAAAAAGCGCGCCTTGCAGCCAGTTGATTTTGAAGAAATAGATCATGATCTAGATCAAACCCGCGTCCACTTTAAAATTATTAAATTTCTTCTGGCCTACGAGTTTCCTGGGGCGCGCTTTCTGACCCCCTCGCTTGAACCCAAGTGAGAGTGCACATTATTTAGTTTCAAAAATATTTTCAAGAAAACGGTCTGGGTCTAAATTTCAAAGCCAAAAGAAAAATCGGAATTTGATACTGTTTTGAAACCATCAATTTTCAGTCAAACTAGCCATGAAGTCAACTACCCTATCCTTATAAAACAACCTCTATCTCACAAATCAAATGGAAAACCTATCCCAAATTATTTTTTCTAAAGTTCCGGGTTAGACGGTGATGATCTATGAGAAATCTGAATATCTAACCTTTTCAACGTATTCTTCCAGTCTTCTCCTAACTGCTATACCTAAACTTTTCTCTACTGAAAGAGAGATGGAGGAGTGCTCGAAAAGTCCACGCTTATCCACCAGCCATCACATATATTTTTTGACCGCTCGCGATTTGAATAGAAACATCAAAACCCGAAGCATTCAAAGTTTACGGAGACACAAGCCCATCGACTGATGATGTCGTCAGTGATGTGGAACCCGATTATTTTATTTTTGAAAAGAAGAGAAAGACACAGGAGTAGATGTCTCATGAGAAGAAGAAGAAGTAGGAGATGCTCATGATGATGATGATGAGATGATGATGACGATAAATGAATGAGGAGAATGAAAAGGAAAAGCCAACTCTCTCTCTCTCTCTCCAGGAGCAAAAAAAGCTCGGAGGAGAGCCGCCCCATGGATTGAATATGTTAATGAAGTTTGACATGGAATTGGTCCTTTTGGAAAATGACTTTGGAAGAAGAAGAAAAGAAGAAAAAGTGATGAATTTTCATTAACGAAAAGTTTTTTCCTTTTTTCCCATTGCTAAATTATTTAATGGTGATTTTGGGAGAAAACACAAAAAGAAATAATGACACATCACATCACAAAAAGGTTTTATCGAACATTTCAGGTCAAGTTCTCAATGTTTACGACTCTTCTTGACAGGGCGGAGCAAGCAGAATTGGACAGTTTTCTAGAAGTTAAAAAAAATAGTAATATGGGTTACGGTAGATGAGAGCCAACCTGTTCATCGATACGAAGAACACACGAATCGTTGCCCATGCTCAAATAGTTGGCAGCAGAAAATATCGTAACCATGTGCCCGTCGGCGTGCCATTTATGACCTCCAGTGACCATCTGTAACGAAGGGAATTTTGATTTTGACAAATACCGTAAGCACTCTAAAAGAAGACCATCTGCACCGCAAACTTTAAGCTCATATATCTCGGTTCCTGTGAAAGATATAAAAAAGTCGTCAACTGACAAAATCTTCATCATAAAATCTAAAATATTTTGTCAGGGCTCGAAATTGGTGGTTTTGGTGTCCTTCTATTAGAGTGTTTACGGTATGTGGGGGTTTAGAATCTACAATCTCGGCCAAGATTCGAACCCAAAATGACCATTTTAGTTAAAAACTATCAGCTTTGGGTGTCTGAAAATGTACTTAAAACATGTCCGTTTGGTTTGAAATTTGTCGGGATTATAAATCAAAACTAGAAGATTATTTTTGTAGTTTACAACTTTTTTGTACAATCATCTGCTGGAAATACAGGTTGCATAAAATAATTGTACCCCTTTTTTAACGATTTCAGTTGTAGGAATTAAAAAAGTTTTGGGCACCACTGTAGAAGCAAGTCAAAAATTCTGATTTCAACCACTTTTCCATACTTCACTGGAAATCTGATGTGCTCTGACAATCAAATCAATTCCATTCTCCTCGCAAAACTTCTCGATCGTCACGTCATCGAACGAAATGAGATTCCACGAGCTGACAAAGACCAGCCAATGTTCTGAAAATTTCAACATTCAAGGGGAGCTTCGGCCAAAACGTTTTCGTGATTTTTTTGCATTCAAATCTTCCCGAAGTTCTGTGTTTTTAGTCTTCCTTTCAACAATATTTTTCTGATTTTCAATTACCGTAGTTGCTTCCGGATCAGACCACACCAAATCACACACCAGACCGTACGATGGAATGAATGTTGGACGTTGGATCTGAAAATTATGTTCTTTTTTATCTCGATTTTTCCAGATTGTTTTCCAGAATCCATACATTATCAATATCCTCCAAAGTACGAATATGTGGTGAGATGCCTCCGTGCATACAAAGAACTTTTCCGAAGATCAGAGCCGCCAATGGCAGATGATTGAATGCGTTGATGATGTGGAGCCAAGCCAGTGGACCTTTCTCACCGTATTTCATCTTACACTCATCATAGAATCCATAGGTTAATGTTGTGTTGTAGTCTTCATGATTTCCACGACACATGAACAAATGATCTGGGTAGAGGCAGTGGAATGCCATCAGAAGCATCACGGTCTCTAATCCTTGACGACCACGATCCACGTAGTCGCCAAGGAAGACGTAGTGTGCCATTCCGGGGGAGCCATGTCTGAATGAATGGGGGAAGTTGTTTAGGTTCGAAAAATCGGAACTGTGGAAGAGATACCCCGGTGGTCATGGCTGAAGGTCCTGCAACGAAAACTACTGTAACCAAAAAATGTTTTTATTTTCTGCGTTTTTTTTTCATTCTTGAACGGGTTTTTTTCGGAGCTGTTTTTTTTGCTTTTTGCACTTCTCGTCGAGACCAATTTCTCTTTACTACGGTATATATATATATATATATAAATATATATGTCAGCGTTCGAGCGCATAACGTTCCGAAAAAAAATCGGAGTTCCCTCAAATTATTATTTAAAGTTCGAGAAAAACATCTTCCTTCTGGAGGAACATTTCTCGGGAAGAGTGGGCGGAGTTAGAGGGCGGAGCCTAAATAGCAAGGTGCGAATGGTTTTGCCGCACAGTTTTTTGTAAAAACCCGTGTCAGACGTTCTATTTAAGCTCCGCACATTTTTTCCCAGAACTTTTTTCTCGGAATTTGTGGGACCTCAAAAAACCCCGTGTGCAAGGCGAAAAATGTTTGAAAGTGAACAAATAGGCTGTAAAAAGGAAATCGGGAAAAAACCCCAGAAAATAAACACATTTCTAGGTTACGGTAGTTGTCGCTGTGGGGCCTTCGGCCACCGACGTTTCTCTTCTACCTCTCCATACTTTTTTGTACCAGAACAACAAAATCACAACTCACTTTCCGAAAATTCTTCTCAAATCGGCAAAATGACCATGCAAATCGCCAACAATTTGAATCGGAAGACACTCTTCTTCAATTTTCATCAATGTATTAAACGAGGCAAACGAGGCGGCAGCATAATTCGAAATAATCCGAATCTCTTCTTTTGTAATTGCTACATCAACTTCTGCTTTCGATTTCTCCTTCATTGGAGCTGCCATCAAACGAGCGATGAACGATTTCAGATAGCTGACTCGCTCTTCATCGTTCTCGTATTCTTCCTCATTTTCAACACGTTCAGACTCTTGAAGCATATTGAAAAGCTGGTCAAATCAATTAAAGATGTAAAAATTGAAATAGTTTATTTGTTGTCTTTGTTAGTTGAATTTGAATACACACATCAATCACAAGAAATTAGAAAACCGGGTTAAAAAATAAATACACGTCGCCGCATCGCTTATGCACTTCCCAGCTCCATGATATAGGCCAACAGCGTCTTTACTCCCTCCACATAGTTCAACTTATTGTTCTTCTCGTTCTGCGAATGAGCCATATCATCAGCGGCTCCCAGGGGAAGGAGAAGAACACTCTTTCCAGTGAGCTCTTGGAATGTCAGCGTGATTGGAATCGAGCATCCCTCACGAATTCTGTCTGGCTCGACGCCATGAACTCTCTTCATAGCACGAGCACCGGCGAGGAAGTTCGAGTCGTTCACATCAACCACCCATGGCTTGGCACTATGTCCTGGACGTGGCTTGAAGGTATTTGGAGATCCACGTTCAGCCCAAACCTTGTTGAGATATTCAACTGTCAAACGGTTGACAGTCTCTGGATCCATGTCAGGAACAATACGAATCGAGAACTTTCCGATGACTTTCGATGGGATTACTGTCTTTTCTCCAGGTCCATAGAAGGCTCCCTCGATTCCGTGGAAAGCAAGAGAAGGCTCACGCCATCTACGGAGCAACAACGTCTTCTTGTCTTCGGTGGGAAGTTTTGAAGCGCCAACGCTCTCCCGGAATTCGGTAACATCGAATTCGATGTCATCGTATGTCTTCTCCTCAGCAGCGGAGAGTGGAGCAACTTGATCGTAGAGACCTACAACGTGATTGTTTGATTTTGATTTTTCTCCTTATCAATGGTCTCTGATTTTTTTTCTTATCAGTAAAGAGAATTACCTGGAATTCTAATACGATTATCCACGGTTGTTAATTGGGCCATCACCCACATCAGATCTTGTAATGGCTCATGGATGACGCCTCCGAAAACTCCAGAATGAAGATCTTGTTTAATTCCGGTGACCTCGACGAAAAATGAGCAAATACCACGGAGTCCGTAGGTAAGACAAGGCTTCTTGGTGCCAAGCCAGTAGCTGTCAGAAATGCAAACGAAATCCACACCAGCCAAGAAGCGATCCTTCTCACGTTCTAAAAGTTCTGGCAAACCAACGGATCCAGATTCCTCCATTCCTTCGAAACAGAACTTGATGTTCACAGGGAGTTCGATGTTATTTTTCTGCGCCGCACGGATCGCATGAAGCCAACAGAGCACCGGCCCCTTGTCATCCGAAGATCCACGACCGAAGAGTTTTCCGTCCTTCTCAACGAGCTCAAATGGTTCAGTGTCCCAGCCATCGGATTTGGCAGCTGGTTGAACGTCTGGAAAACAAAACATTTTTAGAAATCATTGTCTGTAATTAAATACCCAAATGTCCATAGACAAGAAGCGTCTTTTTAGCGCTGTCAGTTCCAAGAGTTCCCAAAAGAACTGGCGGCAACTTGACAGTCTTTCCTTCCAACTCTTGGATTCCCAAATCGGCGAGTTCACATGTTGTTCCAATCTGCTCTAGCTTCTCTTTCATCCAGTGAATCATGTGAATTGTCTCATCTCTTTTTGATGGGTCTCCCGACACACTTTGAATTGCAACGGCTTCACGGAGAAGCTCCTTCAAATTGTCGAAATCGCCATCGATTTGTTGGAATACGTTAGTCAGGTCAACAGTCATCCTGGAAAAATAAAAGAAATTTAACTATGTTAAACCAACGAAAAAAAGAGTTGTAAGAAGAAAGCTCTGGAAGTGAGGACGAATTTGCCAAAATTTGAATGATAAGGGAAAAAAGTCACGCTATGTCTCGGTTTCTGTTGCCACCACCAGCAGCTGTACACAGAATAATGCTGATAAACCGAAGATTACTTATAAGAACAAGAACAAAGTATAAGATCTTTTATAGAGATCGGAAACGGCAAGAAAAAAACGAGTTTTTTGAGAATTGAAAAAATACCAATTTGAAAATCGCTTCGGAACCACAATGGGCATGCGCCTTTAAGGAAGATTATTGTATTACATTTTGTAATTTCAAGTTGTGGGCGAGAAAATCTCTCTTTTCTCTCAGAATTCGTCGATAAAAGACATGAGAGTCATCTTAAATTCACTAAAAGGCTTTTCATAATGTTTTACTTGCAAACAAGAACAAAGTATAAAAAGGAAAATCAATTTAAAGGTGGTGTGCGGTGAAAAATTTTATTGCTTTATTTTGTGCAGAAATCCATGCAGATTCACATAAAAATAAAGAAAAAATTCAAAAAAAAATCCTTCATTGAGAAAAACGGCAT